TCTCTCTCTTCCTCCCCTCCCTCCCTTCCTCCTTCTCTCCTTTTCTCTCTCTTTCTCTGTCTCCTCTCTCTGTCTCTGTCTGTCTCTCTGTCTGTCTGTCTCTCTCTGTCTGTATGTCTCTCTCTCTGTCTCTGTCTCTCTGTCTCTCTCTGTCTCTCTCAGCCAGCTGCTATTTTAGAGCTGCCTTAGGTCACTCTCCAGGCCCTGAGCTGAGCAATGTGTCTGTCACTGTCACAGCTTGGACTCAGAGTAGATTTTAGGGATGAGATGAGGGAAATATGTAAGGAAGGCCTATGACAACAGGAATTTCGCCTGTAGCCACCTCAGAAACCACACTATAGACAGCAGGCAAAAACCAAACAACAACAACAAAAAACCCTAGTGCTTTGAAAAAGCTGTTAAGGAATTGATCTCTTATATTCCTGAAAATAGAATCTATGGGCACTTCTGTCTGCTCCCTCCACACCACCCGGATATAAAGCCTGTATATTCCAATGGGGTGAAAGTGAGGCACAAAGTATGAGTCAGGTCAGGAAGATCTGAGTTCAAATCCACCCTTAGACACTAGCTGTGTAACCTAGACAGAACCTCTATTTGCCTCAGTTTCCTCAGTTGTAAAATGGGGGTAAATAACAGCACCTACCTTGCAGGGTGTTTATGAGGATCAAATGAAATAACATTTGCATAGTGCTTAGCACAGTGCCTGGCACATAGTAGGTGCTATGTAAATGTTTGTTCCATTCCCTCTCATATAATGAGGCAAGGCAAGACCCTGAATGAGGGGGTTAAATTAGGTGACTTCTAAGGTTCCTCTCAGCTAACTCAGGTCCCTTGATTCTAAGCAGGATACTTTTCAATAAACTGTATCAATAAACTTTTCAATAAACTGGCCATCACTAGGAAGTCTCCCAAGGGCAGATCCTATAAGCCACCAACTTCAAACCACTAAGATACCAGTTACTTCCCTAAATTCCCAAAGTTCCAGACAGGAACACTGGTTCTCCCTCCAAGGCTTTCTCAGTCAATGGAAGGCAAAGAAGGCACATATCAAGGGAACCCTGACCACGGAAAATCAATTAATGTGAACTCATCCCTTGCCCTCTTGTCAAAGACAAGGTCCATTACTAAACCAACCCTCCCAAGGCTCTGGTCAACTGTGACAAATTTCTACTGTCCAGGTGGGCCCCCCTCCCCCAATGGTGACATATAAACAGAAACAAGCCACAACAAAAGGAGAACCTCACTAATAAAAACAACATATACAAAGGCCCTTCCCCCTCCTCCACCTCCCCTACACATTGTGACCCTCGTGGAGGTCACCAAAATGACCAGAACTGATGGGGAAATGACATGATTTTACCTCACCTCTCGCCAAGGCCAAAAGGTAATGAGTGAAGAAGTGTGAGGATGAAGAAAAGAGAGAGAATAACAAATAGGACAGAGTCTTAGAGAGAGGAAAAGAAAGGGGTTAAGGGCTTTATGAAGCTCTCTGAAGGAGATTCAGCTCCCAGAGAAGCCTAGTAAAGTTCGGGAAGCCTCCTCCCTAGCCCCTTTGCTACAAACCACAGCAATATGTACATACATACCTACATACATATGTATATATACATACATACATATACATATATGTATATATATCCAGCTTATTTTTTTGCTTTCTTTTTTCCCCAAACCACCCCCCCTCACCCCACCCCAACAAGTGAGGAAAACACTATGAGTTGCCTTTGTAACCAAATCCGCTGAACCAGTGGACTTTGCCACCCTGTCTGGAGCCCAGGTTTTTAGAGAAGGTCCTAGTGAAGCTTGAACACCTCTCTTTTTTCATCTCTTCCCTCTTCCCCAGTCCAGCTCCCCCTCCCTCTCTCCCCATCCCCCTCTCCCTCCCCCCCAAAAAAACACCCTGGGGCTGCCTAACCCATAGCTCTGTGGGGCTGCCTTCCCTGTGACTTTTTTCCAGACTGGGGGGAGGGGAAGTGGTCTGCAGGGTCACCTTCGAGCCCTCAAAAACCACTTCCTATGTGGTCCCAGGCGACCCACTGAGGTGGGAGTTGGGGAGGAGCTGGTGGATGTAAACTGAGTGGATTTGAAAGACTGTACCGTCCCTGGGCCAGAAAGCAGGAAGGAAAACCCTCCTTTGGCTGTCAGTTCTTCCCAGGATTGCAGGCCCTCTAAAGGAATTATAAAATTTAGGGCTGGGAGGGACCTTACATTTATTCTAGTTTAAATCCACTCATTTTGCAAAGACAGAAACTGAGGCCATTCAAGTTAAGTGACTCCAGCCGGGTTTCGAATCCGAGACTCCAGTGCTCTTTGCACTAGCAAAGGCTTTTCTATGAAATCATTTGGGGCTCATCCTGCAGCCATAAGCTCGTCAAGCCAGCGAAGAGAAAACAGACTTTGGGCAACTCCCAACAACTCTGCAGAATGAATAGATTCTGGGCTTGCCCCAGGCCCTCCCAACGCGCAGGGATGGAGATGGGTTTTGGCGTAGGAAGGATACTGAGGAGGAGGGCACCCCCCTCCCCTGCTCTCTGTCTCTCCTGGGGGCAGGAGTAGAGGTGGGGGTGGGGTGGGGAATCCAGAGTCTCCTGTGGGTCACGATCCCAGACTCCGCCTGTCAGGAGGCACGGCAGGGTGGCCAGTGTTCCTCCCAGGCTCCCCACCCCCTGCTCCGCGGGCCGGACATCCCGGGCCAGAGAGGGCCCTTCAGGGGATGGGGGGTGGGGGGAACAGGGAGTGTGGGGAGGCCGCCCAGGCCTGCGCTTGGCGCGGAAGGGGGGTGGTGGTGTCTCCTGCCCCGCGGAGGACGAGGAGCGACAGCCACCTCAGGGGGTAGGGGGTGGGGGGCTGCCGCGGCGGGATGGGAGATCCCAGGGCGCCCTCGGGGGCTAACCTTGGCAAAGTTGGGGGAAAGTGTTGCAAAGTTGGAAGAGAAGAATGTTGCAAGGTTGGAAGCGAGCCGGGCCAGGCGGGCGCGGGAGGAGGAGGACTGGCCCGGCCGGCCGGCTGGGGAGGGGACGGCGGGCAGGGGAGAGCACCCACCTCTCCGCGCTGCAGCTGGAGGAAGCTGTTGAGATAGCTGGAGTTGAGGGGTGAGCCCAGCTGCTCGGGGCTGCCCTTGCCGTAGCCCAGCTCCGGGTGGGAGGCGCCGGCCGGCTCCGGCCGGAAGGCGTCGAAGGCGCTCGCCTGGTGCGTGTCCTGCAGGGACAGGTAGACCCAGTTGAGGAGCTGGGCCGGCTGGTAGACCGAGGCAGCGCTGGTGTCGATGGCTGACAGCAGGCTCATCTTGCTTGCCCCCCTACGCCTCGGCCGCCGCCGTCCGCTCCTGCCCTCGGGCCCCCTCCACCCCTCCTCCCCGGGCCCGCTGCCCCGCTGCGCTCTAGTGAGGGGCGGGGAGGGGGGGGCTCGATCCCGCGCCTAGCCCTCCAGCCCCCCCAGTGCCGCCGCCGCAAGCCCTCCGCTCCGTCCAGCAGCCCCGCCGCTGCCCGCCTCTCTGCAGCCCGGCCAGCCCCGGCTAGGCGGCCGCGGAGCCCGGAGTGGGGGAAGAAGTTCCACAGGAAACTTTTCTCCCCGCCCCCTTCTCTTCTCTCCGCCCCGGCGGCCGATCCGCTATCTGTCTTATTTCTGACCCCTCCGACAGCCTGGAGCTGGGCTGCAAAGGGGACAGGGCGGAGTCACCGCGCGCCCCCTCCCGCCCCCTCCCGCCCCCTCCCGTCCCCCGCCCCGAACTTTCTCCGATTCCGATTGGTCAGCTCTTTGACCAAGGATGACAAGAGGGCGGGGGAGTGGGCTGGGGAGTCTCGGGGGAGGGATCTGTTATCTGCATATGTATCAAGCACAGGGCCAATCAAAGGCCGGCCTCTCCCCTTCGGTCAGTCTGGGCTCACTTAGGTTGTGGACACAGTCCTGGAAAGATCTCAATTTGAATCAAACGGATTTCTTTTCTTTTCTTTTCTTTCCTTCCTTCTCTCCTTCCTTTTCTCTATCTTTCCTTCCCCCCTTCCCTTCTTCTTTCCTTCTTTTTTTTGTTTCTTTCCTTCCTCCCCTATGTGTCTCTTTCCCTTCCTTTCCCTTTCCCCTCTTTCTTTCTATCTTGCTCTCTGTCTCTCTTTTCCTCCTTCTCACTCGACCCTCTCCCCTTCCCCCCATTTTTTACCCTCTCACATTTTTCCTTCTTCAACTTAATATCACTTGTGGGTCCTTTTTCTTCCTAATTTCTTCCATCTGGAAATTCAGTATGGATACATACTTTTCAAAAGGAAATTGGAAAGTTCAGGAGATTTTGAAGGGATGCAGACTCCAGAGTTTCAACTCCATAATCATCATCAGATCCCTATTTCTTGGCCCCAAGAAAAGTCTCCTTTCTCCCCCCTCCTCCTCCTCCTTCTCCTCCCCTCTTTTTCTTTCCCTCCTCTTTTTGTCTTCATAATTAATTTCTTTCCCCCTTTCCATCTCTTCTTCTGTATTCTTTTTTCCTTTGATTGACTTGCCCCCTTTATCAATACCCTTCCCTTCCTCTTCATCTTCTGCTCTTCTCTTTACTTCTTCTCCTTTCTCTTTTCCCTCCATTTTCCTTCTCCTGTTTCTTCTCCCTAATTTTTTTTTCTTTTTGGTGAGGCAATCTGGGTTGTCACTTGCTCAGGGTCACACAGCTAGTAAGTGTCAAGTGTATGAGGCCGAATTTGAACTCAGGTCCTCCTGACTCCAAGGCCAGAGCTCTATCCACTGTGCCACTTAGCTGCCCCTCTTCTCCCTACTTCTGTTTCTCTTATCTCTTCCCTTCTCTTCTTCCTCCACACTAAGTCTTGGCTCAAGATCTTGAAGTTTTCTCCCTTGGGCAAAATCCAAAACCCCAGATTCAGATTAGACCTTGTATGTCCAGGCCCTAGCCCCTTTTGCCCCCCCCCCCAAATGGATAGAACTAAAGGAAGTCAGAAAAAAAAAGTCACTTCCCTAGAGTGGCTAGAGTTTCTCTGTTTCCATGGTTCTGATGACCACGTGTCCATATGTGACCTGGTGGGGCAAGGTGATCTCTAAAGCCCCTTACAGCTTTAAATCTGTGATCCTACAAACCTATGAACTCTCCAAAGTCCACCTCCTGCCCTGACTTCTCCCCTTCACTCTAGTTCTGTTTGCTGTCCTGCCTCCATGCCTACTTAAAGGTCATTGTCCCTACCCTCTTGAATTCTGTGGCTCTGCCCCTTCCTATTTATATGACTTACAGCCTTCAAAACCCAACTCTTGCAAGAAGCCTTCCCTCACCCATCCACCCTGCCTACCTGAACCTCCTCCACTCTGTTTCCCTAAGTTATTTCATTTGCCCTGTGTTAATATAAGCCTTTGTCTTTGTTACATCGTTGTTCACAGGGACTGTTTTCTCTCAAATAATTGGATATCCCTGAAGGAAAGAATAATTTCTTTTCTTACTTTGTTAACTCTATTTAGCCCAAAGCATATGCACATACACAGTCCTATGCACAGCTCCTGATTCTATACCTAGTAGTACAGAATCCATAAACATTTTTGAGTGACAGTCCTGCTGAGAGGTAAAGGAGTGTCCACTAGATGACCTTTCCAGGCTTCAACCTCTTACATTTACCATATGGTCTGTGGGGCTGTGTAATCAGATAGGTGGGAGAGTTCTGGCATAATACTTAAAAAGGGGAGAAGCCACCTACCAGCCCTAGTGATCATCATATATAACCTCACTTATTTGATCATCATTAGTCATTAAATACAGCACTGAGGGGACCATGTTTCCAGTTGAATTTAAATGTTATTAACTGAGCACCCATCATATACTCACTCAGCTCTGTGCTAGATACAGAAGAAATAGAAGGTGTTTACCCTCAAGAAACTTTCTGTCTAACTGGGGAGATGACTGACATGAAATAGAGAATAATGACAGTGTCAGCAATCTATCAATTGCCTAGCCAGCATATTATACATGCACAGCTACTGTGCCGTGGTTTGCTTGAGACAGAGTTAAAATTGAAAAATTAATATTGCATTAAGAGGAAAAAGATCTAGATTTTTTGTTTCCTTTTTATTGGTCTTTTATCTTTATAAAACCTTCATTTCCAATTATACTTCTCTCCATCTCCTACCCACCAAGTCATCAGTTGTAACAAAGCTTTTAAAAGTTTTAAAAATAAAACAGTTCAGTAAAACCAGCCAACAGATTAAACTTGTCTGAAGATATATGCAGTATTCCACACCCTTAGTCTCCCATCTTTGCAAGGAGTGAACAGAGCTACATTGTCTCAACTCTTACTCAGGACCAATTATAATTATGTAGCATTCAATTTCAGGATTTCATTATTGTTCTTCATTTAGATAATTATCATTATTGCATAAATTGTTTTCCTGCTTCTACTTGCTTTACTCTGCATCAGTTCATGTAAGTCTTTCTATGTTTCTCTGAATTTTTCATATTCATCTTGCCTTATGGAGCTGTAATATTCTATAATATACATTTGCCGCAATTTGGATGACCCATCCTATGATTACATCCCTGACATCTGTTTTGTTTCCAATTCTTTGCTACTGTAAGAAGAACTACTTTGAATATTTTGGTGTACATGGAATCTTTCTTTCTGCCTTTCCCCTCCTTGTAGTAGATATCTAGCAGCGGGATCTCAGGAGATCTGGATTCTAGTCTGTAAAAGGAAGGGTTGGATTGCATGATCTTTAAAGTCCCATCTCCTGACTTTATGATCTTGGGCACCTTGCCGAGCTTCTTCCTCATCTGGAAAAGGTAATGCTAACAGGCCTACCTCAAGGGCATTGAATTAGATCATGGATGTGAAACCCTAATTCCAGGCTTGTGCTTCCCTAAAACAGTCTCAGGGGTTCTAGGATCATCTCCACGTTACCAAAATGAGACATCGAGGAAGTCTCTAGTGGAGGTGGGCAAATATAAAGTTCTATTATACAGATTTGAAGATCTTTGCCCTGCCCTTGAGGATTTTACTCAGAGGCAAGACTTAAATATATACATGAACCAAATGGAAGGAAATTGTTAAACTATACACAACTATGGATAATAAATAAAAGATAGAGGGCTGGGAAACCAAACACAAGATATGTAACTGATGAAAGTGAATCAGGAGAGGTGATATAGTCTTGGTACCCAGATAACTAGCAGGGAAATATGATGGCACAAAACAAACCGCTACCTGAAATCATCCAATAAGACTCATGGACCTCCAACTCATTCAAGACCCTAGGGCAAGGGTGTAGTGGAAGAAGCGTTGGATTGAAGGTTAGATGATATGGGTTCTAGTCCCAGCTTCTGTGACCCTGGGCAAGCCACTGAAACTTCTAGCCCTCAGATTGCAAGAAGTCTGCTACAGCTGATCAAGGAGACATCAGCTCACCCTCCATACTCTCCAGGCCCTACCCTCCTCCCAAGCCACAGGCAGGGCTGACGTTGTCTGTCCTTTTATGGAAGAGTTCTTCATGTTCATCGTATGTAAATTCCTCCCCCTTCTTTCAATTTCACATCCAGTTTCATTTAAAGAGAGATAGAAAGAGGGAAAGAATGAGCCAAACATTTTATTTATAGCTTCTCGGGCACTGTGTGGCTGTCTCAGGGGTGCTGCAGTGTCTTTGGAGGTTCTCTAGAAGCTACCAGGTCACCTAGAGGCCACTAAGATAGGCTTACTCACATGGGAGCCTGACTTCCTGCTGAGGACTGGGATGTGAACAGGGCCAGACAAAGGGATAATGATAATTGACAGACCCAGAGAAATGAAGTCACTTGTCAGTTGTCATATATGCCAACATGCCATAATTCAAACTCAAGTCTAGGGTTCTTCCAGCTAAACTACATTGTCACTGTCAATAACAAGCATTCATTAATCACCTACTGTGTTCCAGGCACCATAATAACCATATAACTTTCTATTTCCACTAGTACCTATTCTTCCTGGGTTACTAAAATCAAAGTTGTTTTCGTGGTGTAGATCACAGGACCCAAAGTTCAAAGACCTGAAGGTTTTAGTGGAATGCAAGCTCAATTATTTAAATTATTTTTAAAATATTTTTAAATTATTTAAATATTTAAAATGTTTTATTAATATTATATATTTATTTATTATTAAATATTTTTTAAAAATAAAAGAGAGGGATACAGCTAGGTGGCACAGTGGATAGAGCTCTGGCCTTGGAGTCAGGAGGACCTGAGTTCAAATCCAGTCTCAGACACTTGACATTTACTAGCCGTGTGAAACTAGGCAAGTCACTTAACCCCATTGCCTCACCAAAAAGCAAAAAAAAAAAAGTCAATG